GCAGTTGTCGCCCTTCATGCAGAGGCCGCGCAGCCAATGCCGGCAGACGACCGTACCTCGCTTAAAGTCCTTCTTCGCATCTTCGTCCTGCGGCAGCGCCGTCGAGGCTGCGGCGAGGAGCGCAGGCAGCGCGGCCTCGAAGTCGAAGACAAGCGCTTCCTCGTCGTCGATCCAGATCGTCCCAGGCATCAGAGCGGTGGACCTTAAAGCTCTGCGGCCGGCCAGTGCTACGGATAATCTAATTTTATCCGGAAGACCACATGTGTGAAACGTGTGCTTTGCAGTACACCAGGGTGGAAATTTCGTAGGCCATTTCCCGTGTTATATTGCATATTGCGTTGCCACAAGGGAGTATCCCATTGGCATGTTATTTAACGTTAGTAAGCATCTCCGACCTAGGATCGGGTTCGATGGGCGGGTCAATTCATCGCATTGGAACGTGAGAGCTCGTGCACTTAGAAGCGCTTTGTCAACTTTACGTGTGGTCAAGATCCCAGCCGAAAGCTGCGATCTATCGGTACTGCATGTGGTCTTCCAGGGCGCCGTGCTACTGGTCTTGTCATTGCATGCATATTGCGACTGCCAGCTTCTCTCTGAGCTTCGCTTCCCTTCAAGATTCGCGAGGGACTGTTCGCGGGCCTCGGCTGCTCGACATGTAGCTGGGCGGCTGGTATGAATGCCGTGCCGACATGCGCCAGCGTTGACCAATCGAGGACGTTGACGCGACCATGTCAGGATGCAGGATTCAATCTTGTCATCGACTCTACCTCGCGCATGGTGTCCACTGCAAACCATGAACGTTGCATTTAATAGGCGAAGGCGACCTCAGATACCTTCTTCAGACCTGCACTAAATCCTGAGAACAATGCTCGTCTTATATCGTTCTCGCAGAGGCGAGATGTGGCGCCATCAAGATCGGCCGGCGCGCCTGTCCGGACACAACATGTGACAGTCGTCGCAACTTCAACGGCAAACTCGTGCGAGTCGTCTCGACACTCGGTGGCACGTGCGGCGTGTGCACTTTGGCGCTGCGAGCCAATCCAAATGGGTTTAGCAACGTGATTTCCATCGACATGTCTCAGAAGCCGTGCCAAGGTAATCGCCACGGGGCATCCTCGCCATCCACGTCTGCATCCATTTCGTAATTTCATCATGCTCGCGCTCCGCAAGTCGCTCGCCCGGTCTTTTGCGTCGTCGCCGATTCTCACGCCCGTCTCGATCGAGTCGACGCGCATGTCGTACGCGGACATCATTGTACAAGAATATCCATATCCTGCCATATCGTATATACGATCTTACTCTTGGTACTAGGACGACGATGGCGGCGCGCGCGGCCGGTGGCTCAACCACGGCCCGATCCTCGAGCGCATGGACGTGCTCGGCTTCGCGATCTCGGCCAAGCTCACGAAGGGCCCCGCGGCGACAATCAGCCTCGACCAGGTCCGGTCGCACCGCCCGGTCTTCTATGGCGACCTCTTCCGCCTTGAAGGACAAGTGCTCAACGCGAGCCGGTCGGCGACCTCGATCCAGATCACGGGGTACCGTGTCGACGTCTTGACGGGCGACATCCAACACACGCACGACGCCATCATTACGCTCGTGGCCATCGATGGCCAGGGCCGCCCGCGGCCGTCGCTGCCGCCGATGACGTCCGAGGTCGACCCGACCATGATGGACGATCGGTGTGTCTATAAAGTACAGTCTAGAATCCATTTTTCTTACTGTCGGATAGGGCGGAGAAGGCGCAGCAGCGCAAGGAGCTTGCGGCCCGCTGGAATGCGGTGCAGGAAGACGTCGACGCACTGCCGCAGGTCACCGCCGACATGCTTCAAGAATTCGAGCTGAGCAAGTACCGGCAGTCGTTCGTGCCCGTGCGGGACACGCTCGTCGAGGTCCAAAACTGGTTCATGCCCAAGCACCTCAACAACAACAACACGATCTTTGGGGGCGACCTTCTCCAGTGGATGGTACGCACATCGATCCTCCGTGACCGCGTCGTTAATTATGCGTTCTTTAGGACAAGGTCGCGGCGTTCTGTGCCAAGAAATTTTGCAAGAGCGTCAACATGGCGACCGTGTCGGTGAACCGCATTAGCTTCAAGTCGCCCGTGACCACCGAGGACATTGTGTCGATGCGCGCGCACGTTGTGAGCGTTCGGTACAGTCTACATCATGCACAAGAATATTGTCTTATATGACGTCTCTGCATTGTAGCCGCCACACGCTCGAGGTCGAAGTCGAGGTGTTTGTCGAGCGCATGGGGTCGGGCGAGAAGAAGAAGTCGCACTCGGGTTACTTTACGTGCGTCAACCTCGACGCTGCGCAGCGTCCGGCGTTCATCAAGACGGGTCTCGCGGTCGATGAAGCCGACCAGGATGGCATGCGCTACCTTTTGAAGGCGCAGAAGCGCTGGGAATTCGACTTGGAAGGCCAGCACTTGCACCAATTCCCGCCCATTCCGCTCTCCAACAATCAGTTTCCCGTCCCGTTCTCGACCCGGCAGCAAGACAAGATGAGCATCAAGATTTAGACAACATACATAACCCAGAATAGAGATAGACCACGAGAAGACTCGCTACAAAAATGACCAGGGAGCTTCAACCCTACTTTTATGGCCAGGCAGTGCTTATTTATACTGCAAGGCAGTGGACGCCTCGATCGCGTTGAGATAGACAGCAGTGAGCTTGGTGCGGGTACCGGTAGTACTGTAGCACTAGTAACAAGTATGACGACTGTAGTCAGCGAGGAGATGCAGTCGTCCCAGCGAGTTCGGTCATGATCTTGATGGTATCCGGATCGTCTGCGTATCCGGATTTCAATGTTGACGGATCTTGGTTAGTTTCCGATCTGGTTGCAATGTGGCGGAAACTACGAAATTTGCATCTTGGGCACGGCCCCCGGACGACGACGATGATGACGACGACGCGGAAGAGCAGCAGCATCGCGCTTGAGTCGACGCACATGTCCTTCGCCGACATCATCGTAGGCGTCGCCTCCATGCATGGCCGCATGCGACTAATGCATCCATCCGTAGGGCGAAGAGAGCCTGCGCGGGCAGTGGCTCAGCCAAGGCCCGGTGCTCGAGCGCATGGACGTCGTCGGCGCCGCCGTCGCCGCCAAGTACGTCCATCCTTCTACGACCATGATGCTCATCATGGACGCCTAGGGTCGCCAACGGCCCTGTCGCGACCGTGAGCTTTGACCAAGTCGACTCGCACAAGCCCGTGTTCCATGGCGACCTCTTCCGCCTCGAGGGCCGCGTCTTAAGCACGAGCAACTCGTCGACGGCCGTGCAGCTCACGGGGTACCGCGAAGAGATGCTGACGGGCAAGGTCACGCACACCCACGACGCGATCATCACGTTTGTGGCCATTGATGCCAAGGGCCGGCCGCGCCCGGGGCTCCCGGCGCTCACGTCGTCGTCGCAGCCCGACCTCGTTGCGTTTCTGTGCGTCGTCATCTGCATGGTCTCTTCGCCATATATTGATCCGGTATGGATGCTATAGGGCGGAGAAGGCCGTGCATCGCAAGGAGCTCGCGACCACGTGGCGGACGTACCAGGAAGACGTGGACGCGATGGCGCACATCACCGAGGACATGCTGCAGGTCTACCCGATGTCGACGTCGCGCGAGTCGTTCGTGCCCGTGCGCGACACGCTCGTCGAAGTCAAAAACTGGTTCATGCCCAAGCACCTCAACATGAACAACACGATCTTTGGTGGCGAAATCCTCCAGTGGATGGTCTGAAATCTGAATTCTGAAGTCTGGAATCGACTCGGCATAATCTGGTAGGACCGCGTTGCGGTCTTTTGCGCCCGCAAGTTTACCCAGAACGTGTCCATGGTGACCATCTCGATGAACCGCATCTTCTTCAAGCTGCCCATTACGCCCATCGACATTGTCAGCATGAAGTCGCGTGTCGTCATGGTTCGGTACGCACTCGTCTCTATAAGAACGTACACGTGCTTATTGGTCCTAGGCGCCATACCCTCGAGGTCGAAGTCGAGGTCTTCATCGAGCGCATTGGCCAGAACGAGAAGCGCAAGTCCCACACGGGGTACTTCACCGTCATCAACCTCGACGAAGGGCAACATAAAATGCCGCTCAAGCGCGGCCTCGCCGTCGATGAAGCGGACCAAGAGAGCATGCGCCACCTTCTCAAGGCGCAGAAGCGCTGGGCCTTCCACGTCGACGACCACCTGCTGCACCAAGTACCGCCGCTGCCACTGTCCCACGAGAACGCTGGCCCGACGCCGCCGCCCTCGCGCTTGTAATCGCTTCGTACTCGTCTACCTAACACACCACCATGGTGCTAGGTCGCCTCATAAATATGCCTGTTCAAGATCGTCTGCCATGGTGTTGGGTGTTTTTATCCTACCGATCTGTCGAGCCATCGCATGGATCCGTCATTGCGAGGGACTCTGGATGTGGCGCGTGCGTGCGTGCGTGCCCTCGATGAGGTCACCAGCACCAGTGTGGGCGCACTTGAGACGTCGGCGTTGGTTTCTGCGCGCCACGAAGGACGGTATAGGTCCATATGCCGAATTTAAAATGCAAAATGCCGAATGTAATTGGCAACCATGCTCACCGAAGCCGAGTGGGCGGACGCGCTCTTGCCGCTATGGAAGGAGTACTTTGGCTCGGAGGACGACGTCGACCTCGTCAAGTCTGACTTCCTCGGGCCGCTGCTCCAGTTCCACGCGCTCCTCCGCGACTGCCGGCAGCCCGACGGCTTCCTCGCCCATGTTCGTCCACGCATCTTTGTATGCAGGATGATGATGATGATGATGGCTAGGTCAACCTCATGGAGGCGACGGTCGTGACGATCCTTGCCAAGCACCTCTTTAGCCTCTTTGGCGACGACGCGCAAGAGTGCTTCACGGTCGGGTACGAGCACTACCTCCGGTCGCTGGGCCTCGCGCTGTGCATGGTATTACGACCTACTCCATCTCCTACGCCGAACACGACGCACTATAGCTGCGCCACGAAGACGAGATTGCGGCTTCCGAGTACGACATGCTTCCGCGCGATAAGCTCGTGATGACCAAGGACAAGATCCACGTGCGCATCGTGGGCTGGGAGCCCGAGACGGCGATCGGCGACCTCAAGGCCCACGCCGTCGACACGTTCGTCAGCGTCACGGGCACGGTCATCCGCGTCAACGCGATCAAGCCGCTTGTCGTCTGGTGCGAGTTCCTCTGCGAGAAATGCGAAGGCGTCACGCCCCGGTACTTTCCCGACGGCAACTTTGACCCGCCGCCGAGCTGTGCCAGCTGCAGAAGCAAGGCCGCGCTCGTGCCGCACCGCAGCTCGGCGCGCACGGTCGACTTTCAAAAGATCAAGTTGATACAAACGACAGTCTACGTTCTTATGGCGATCGCGACTAGGCTACAGGAGGTCGACAACTGCGACGCGGCCGCGGGACGCATTCCGCGCATGGTCGAAGTCGAGCTCTTGGAAGACCTCGTCGACTCGTGTGTGCCTGGCAGTGTCGTCACAGTCTGTGGCGCGGTCAAGGCCATGAACTCGGAGCTCCACGGCGGCAAGTACGGCAAGCAAGCCCAGGCCAGCAGCCTCTATGTGCTCTACCTCGTCGCGAATTCAGTGACGAGCATCACGCAGTCCGAGGTCGTCTTCAATATGCTTTCACAAAAGCGAGCTTATCGGCGTCGCGTAGGCGTCATCGACCCAAGAGAACGTCGAGTTTACCGCCGAGGCAAGGACGCGACGTCGTCACGGCTCGTTGTGACGTTAAGTGTAGGACCTCGATGGCATCTACAAGATCGCTCACATGGACCGCGTGTTTGACCGGCTCATTCACTCGTTTTGTCCTGGCATCTTCCGCAACGAGCTCGTCAAGGTAAGAAGTACCGTGCTGCAACGATCGAGATACGAGCGTAGCCGGTAGGCGGGGCTTTTGCTCGCTCTCTTTGGCGGCGCCCAGCGCAAGGAGGATGCGGGCTTCACCCGCAGCGACTCGCACGTGCTCATGGTCGGTGACCCGGGTCTCGGGAAGAGCCAGGTCCCTCCGTCATCCACGTCTCGACAACAACGGACCATGGAAGATCACATTTTAGATGTTGCGGGCCGTCTCGATGGTGACACCGCGCGGCATTTACGTCGGCGGCAACACGACGACGACGACGGGGCTCACGGTCACCATGGTCAAGGACTCGTCCGGTGACTACGCTCTCGAAGCCGGCGCGCTCGTTCTCGCCGACCAGGTAGACGCGAGAACGGTTGTATCAATGTGTCAAGCGCCGGAAACGCGTAGGGAGTGTGTTGCATTGACGAGTTTGACAAGATGGGCATCGACTACCAAGCACTACTGGAGGCCATGGAGCAGCAGAGCATTAGCATTGCCAAGGCGGGTACGACAATGCAGGTACATGAACAACGTGTGTGACCATCGAGCTAGGCATCGTATGCAACTTGAACGCACGGACGTCGGTAATTGCAGCCGCCAACCCCTCTGGCGGGCACTACAACCGAAGTCGGAGCGTCTCGGAGAACCTCAAAATGAAGGCGGCGTTGGTAGACAATTTCGTCTTTCAATGTTCAAACTCGTTATCGACGGACGTAGCTCTCGCGTTTCGACCTGATTTTCGTGCTCCTCGACCGGCCGGACTCGAACCGGGACCACATGCTCTCGGAACACGTCATGTACAACCACTTGACGTCCAAGCAGAAGCGTCAGCGCGTCGAAATGGGTCTTGGGTCGCAGAAGAAATGGTACTTCAACTCCCTCTTTGGCTACACTTATGTACGTATGGAGGGTAGGTCCCAGTCGCGCGCTAGCCAAGGGCCGCCCGCCGACATTAGGAATGCAGACGACGGATCGCTCAAGCAGCGGCTCATGGCCAACTGGGCCGAGCTCCAAGAAGCACCGATCTCGATCTACCTCATCCGGCGCTACATCGCCTACGCGCGGAAATACATCCACCCGAAATTGTCGCCGGAAGCCAAGACCTTTTTACAGGAAAAATATTTGAAAATGCGCGCCGACGCCGAGACATCGGCCGACGGCATCCCGATCACGATGCGGCAGCTCGAGTCGCTCATCCGGCTCGCGCAGGCGCGCGCCAAGATCGAACTCAAAGAGGTCGTCGAGGTGCAGCACGCCTACGACGTGGTCGAGATCATGCAAGAATGCTTGCTCGATACGTACACGACCGAGGACGGTGACTTGGACTTTGGCCGGTCGGGTGGTCTCAGCCTCTCGAAAAAGGTAATCTATCGATCGATCGACCACCGTATCAATCTATCAACGTATCGTTCTATCAACGTAGGTCAAGGCGTATATGGCGCGGCTCAAGAAGGCAGCAATCACGCGCAATTCGACCAAGTTTAGTATGGACGAGCTTCTGGAAGTCGCCAACAGCATGGCGCTGCAGGTCGACGACTTTCGCGACTTTATCGATATCTTGCGCAACGAGTGCTACGTGCTCAAGCAAGGCCCCAACGTCTACAAGGTGCAGCTGTAGCTCGAATAGATCTTACATCTCGGACCCCACGCCGGTATCACTCATAAGAAATCGTACATTGCTAATACCATGTCCCGTGATCAAGCCCTTATTGCACGACGAGCACTCGTGGCAGCACCAGCGTCGTGGGATCCTTTCGTAGGTGCTCCTTTTCCGCATCAGGTGCTCTTTTCAGCGACCATGCCTGCGGGTACCGGACCTGGACTGTGGCTTTCTATTGTTGACGCTCGAGCTCATGCAGGCGCCCCATGGTATTCTCTTCTACGCACCCAACCGCCTGTATGAGCACCTGGTGGCGATGCGCGCGGTCCTGCCAACATGGCTCGGCGGCTATTCCTCGAACACCTCCATGCGCTCTGGCATACGCAGGTCCGCCCACCGCTCTACTACTGCGCATTCCTCTACGACGACGCCTTCATCTTGCGCCATGTGCATGATCGCGGCTGCTTACTCCCTCGCTGGATGTTTTGGACACCGGCGATCCGCGTGGGCAATATGGACGTGATCGCCTTTGTCTGCAGCGTCGCCGATGCGCGCTTGGAACCGCGGCTCATGGCCACCGCTACCGAGTGCGGCACCCGCATGCTCGTCCAGTACCTCGCGCACCAAGGCTGCTATGCCACGGACGCCCTCAACATGGCGTGCAAGCACGACCACGTCGTGTCGCGCGGGCACCTCAACGTGCCCCGCTTTCTGTACGAGCGGGCTACGCAGGCTTTTCATCGTCGACGCTCAGGGCCACAGCAAGCAGCAACGGACACTTGGCCATTGATTTCTTTCTCTGCCAACACCGACACGAAGGCCATATCGACACCGCTCTCGTGGGATGGCTCGCTCGACCAAGGAACGAGTCTGCCGTGCCGCGTGATCCTTCACGTCGCCTGGCTACCAGGCATAGGTACTTACGATGATATGTCGATCGGCAACGACCTCTGAAGCGCGCTGCAACCGACTTGGATGGCGGTAGTCTAGGCGCCACGTTAGCAGAGTAAGACAGGGGCATGAGCGTACTGTCTGTGGTCGTGCGGCGTTGCTAGGTGAAGATAAGACATTGCAGTGGCACATTAAGTGGCATAGCCCTCGTGCACGGAAGGATAAGCTGTCTCTACGCCACATCCTCAGCTCGGCCCTCGATGATGCGCTGCGACGTGTTTTGGTCATGAGACGGTGCAGACCAGGGGCCGCCAAGCCTGTCAGCGAACAAGCGATGGCTTCGGAGCGCCCGCCTGGGCCAAGTAATGCCGTTCGCCTCAGACTCCATCTCTTATCTCTTTATGCTCGCCTCGTCCGAAGCGATGGCGTCGCGTCGTTGTGGCGGCTCCTCGCGTGACACGCCAAGCTGCTGCATTGACACGACGCGACGATCCTACTCTCGGGAGCATCTGGGTACCGGTACGGCGGGCGCAGCCGGCAAGCGCGGCGCCACCAGCTCTAGCCCAAGCGCTCTGGAAGTCCGAGCTCTTAGCCGCTCGGGCGCCAGCGTTCGTCGCACTTGGTAGCAGCCACAAGCGCCGGAAGCTTGGACCGCCAGAAGATCCACGGAACTGTAACGATGTGCTGCGCGCTGATTGGTCCATAAGACCCGAGAATCGCACGTGATTGGTCCGATCTCACCTGGGTAGCTACTCGGATCCGTTGGAGTCGCCATATTTCCATTTTACGATGGGCCGCGTGCTTCGCCTGGCGGACCTGCTCTGGAGCATCACGCGCTACCAGGACGGCTGCACGCCCGACACGCTCGCGGTGCTGCGCCGCCTCCGCGCTGCGTACGCGACCAAGGACGCCTGCTACTACAACGACCCGGACGACCTCGCCGACGCCTTTGCGAGCTGGCGCGCGCGACGGGGCACCCACGGGCTCGACGTCCTCTGCGACAAGGGCTACGACCGCCACCTCTTTTGCTACGCGCTGCGCATCGGCGACGTGGGCTTGGCGACGTACGTGATGACGAAGCGCGCGATCGCGCTGGACGAGCTGCATTGGCTCCTCGCGGCCAAGTACGGGCACGTCGCAGTGCTCGAGTATCTCTACAGCCAGCGCGACGCACTGCCGCTCTTGCCGTCGTCGCTGCTGAGCGAAGCGGCGCGATGGGGTCACTTGCCGTTGGTGCGCTACCTCCACGAGAAGGGGCTGGACGCGACGCACGTCTTGTACTGCGCTGTCATGCACGGCCATGTGCACGTGGCGCAGTACGCCCATGCGGAGCGTCTCGGGCAGTGGTACCCGAGCCTCGTCACGACCGTCGTCTCCAAGGGCGACACCGCCATGCTTGCCTTCGTCCTATCGCACGGCTACGCCGGCGTGACACCGCGGTCCGTCGTGATCGCTGCCAAGTTTGGCCACTTGGCGCTCGTGCAGATGCTGTATGCGCAGGCGGACGATGCTGCGTTCGAGGAGGCGCTCTTCAAGGCCTCATGGCACGGCCATCTGCACGTGGTCAAGTGGCTCGACTCGCAGCGACTCGAGTGTGAAGTCCCGCACCGGATTCTGGACGAAGCCAAGATGCCGCTGGACGTGATGAAGTACTTTCTGCTCGAGCGACGAAGCGACCCGACGCGCGCGACGGGCCTGCGCTGCCACCCGATCCACACGCCGCGCCTCGCCGCCCACGAGCCCCGTGCGACCATACGACACGTCTTCGACTAACTAACTAACAGCCTGTCTTGTGTCTGCACGAATGGACTTGTCGACGCGATCGAGTCGTGGCTGCCTCTGTGATCTGTCACTGTAGTCTGCTCTGCGCATACGCTGGTGTCTTGGTGCGGCGCCCGATAGCAACAGACCGCCGCCAGCATGCGAGGGCCGAGGGCTACTGTGTTAAATGCTTAAAATGCTGGCGTGTCGACTCCAAGTCTTCTCTTACCAAGCAACCACTTAAGTATCAAGCTGCCGCCAGGACGTAGTATCAAGTCGGGTGGCAATTTAGTATCAAGTCCCCACGTACGGATACGGTGATCTGCCCTCGCCACGCGTCGCGGCCATGCAGCGCCATGTCCAACGCTTCGTCGCGCTGGCTCCCACTAGCCACGTACCAGTATCCTCTTCCATGGGCAACCCCTAGAATGGACATGACCGACCAACGAAGACCACCTCGTAGTATGCGCCTTCTCTCACTTAAGCCACCGTCGCTTCGTATCGCCCCTTCTCTAGTTAGTCGCTTTCAATCCAACAACAGCAACCTACTATCACGTGGCACGTGCGATTAACCGGCGGAATCTTCCAGAATCCGGATACGTGGAATCTAGAAGGTCGTGCGGGATTGGCTGAATTGCCTTGCTGCCTTGTGATTGGCTCCTGGATCGACCTTTCTAGAAGCTCGACGTGACCGCGGGCATCCGAACTCACTTTTGGATTTGCCTCCTTTCGCCAACAACTCGACTACCATGGCTGACTCTGCGGAAACGTTTGCCTTCTCGGCCGACATCAACCAGCTGCTCTCGCTCATCATCAACACGTTCTACTCGAACAAGGACGTCTTCCTCCGCGAACTCATCTCGAACGCGTCGGATGCTCTCGACAAGATCCGCTACCAGTCGCTCACGGACGCGGCCGTGCTCGACTCGGACAAAGACCTCGAGATCAAGGTCATCCCGGACAAGGCCAACGGCACGCTCACGCTCCAGGACTCTGGTCTCGGCATGACCAAGGCCGACCTCGTGAACAACCTCGGCACGATCGCCAAGTCGGGCACGAAGGCCTTCATGGAGGCCCTCCAGGCCGGCGCCGATATCTCGATGATCGGCCAGTTCGGCGTCGGTTTCTACTCGGCCTACTTGGTCGCTGACCGCGTCACGGTGCACTCGAAGCACAACGACGACGAGCAGCACGTGTGGGAGTCGGCCGCCGGCGGCTCGTTCACGGTCACGCGCGACACGACGTCGGAGCCCATCCAGCGTGGTACGCGCATCGTCCTCAAGCTCAAGGAGGACATGCTCGAGTACCTCGAGGAGCGCAAGCTCAAGGACCTCGTCAAGAAGCACTCTGAGTTCATTGGCTTCCCGATCCGCCTCTACGTCGAGAAGACGACGGAGAAGGAGGTCACGGACGACGAGGACGAGGAAGAAGAGGAGAAGGACGGCGACGACAAGCCCAAGATTGAGGAAGTCACGGACGACGACGACAAGAAGAAGAAGACCAAGAAGATCAAGGAGGTCTCGCACGAGTGGGACCACCTCAACGCGCAGAAGCCGATCTGGATGCGCAAGCCCGAGGATGTGACGCACGAGGAGTACGCTGCCTTCTACAAGTCGCTCACGAACGACTGGGAGGAGCATGCTTCGGTCAAGCACTTCTCGGTCGAGGGCCAGCTCGAGTTCAAGGCGTGCCTCTTCACGCCCAAGCGCGCGCCGTTCGACATGTTCGAGGGTGGTGCCAAGAAGAAGCTCAACAACATCAAGCTCTACGTGCGCCGCGTCTTCATCATGGACAACTGCGAGGACCTCATGCCCGAGTACCTCTCGTTCGTCAAGGGTGTGGTCGACTCGGAGGACTTGCCGCTCAACATCTCGCGCGAGACGCTCCAGCAGAACAAGATCCTCCGCGTCATCAAGAAGAACCTCGTCAAGAAGTGCTTGGACATGTTCAACGAGCTCGCCGAAGACGCCGAGAAGTACAAGAAGTTCTACGAGGCCTTCTCGAAGAACCTCAAGCTCGGCATCCACGAGGACTCGACCAACCGCACCAAGATTGCCAAGCTCTTGCGCTACCACTCGACCAAGTCGGGCGAGGACCTCACGTCGCTCGACGACTACATCTCGCGCATGCCCGAGAACCAGCCCGGCATCTACTACGTGACGGGCGAGTCGAAGAAGTCGGTCGAGAACTCGCCGTTCATTGAGAAGCTCAAGAAGAAGGGCTATGAAGTCCTCTTCATGGTCGACCCCATCGACGAGTACGCCGTGCAGCAGCTCAAGGACTACGAGGGCAAGAAGCTCATCTGCGCCACCAAGGAAGGCCTCGACATGTCCGAGTCGGAGGACGAGAAGAAGTCGTTCGAGGAGGCCAAGGCCGCCACGGAAGGCCTCTGCAAGCTTATGAAGGAGGTCCTCGACGAGAAGGTGGAGAAGGTCCAGATCTCGAACCGCATCGTCGAGTCGCCGTGTGTCCTTGTCACGGGCGAGTATGGCTGGTCGGCCAACATGGAGCGCATCATGAAGGCGCAGGCCCTCCGCGACTCGTCGACCTCGTCGTACATGTCGTCGAAGAAGACGATGGAGATCAACCCGATGCACCCGATCATCAAGTCGCTCCGCGAGAAGGCCGACGTCGACAAGAGCGACAAGACGGTCAAGGACCTCATCTGGCTCCTCTACGACACGTCGCTCCTCACCTCGGGCTTCTCGCTTGACGAGCCTACGACGTTTGCCAACCGCATCCACCGCCTCATCAAGCTCGGCCTCAGCATCGACGACGATGATGTGGTTGACGAGAACCTCGATGACCTCCCGCCGCTCGAGGGCGACGATGGCATGGAGGAGTCGACGATGGAGGAAGTCGACTAAATGTCTCTACCTTGCTAACGCTGAATGCAATCCTGCATGAACTTGTTTAATACTTGGTGTCTTGACTCTATTGCCAGCATCGTCTATGTCAGGTTGGGTATGCATGGACATACGGTCGACCGGTAGCTGTCTTGTGGGGATCCTGCGCACCGACGCCCAAGCGGTCCATCAGGTGCTTCCCCATTCAACCACCAGTTGTCGTCAAGAAGAGGTATCCGATATTTGGATCGTGAAAAGGTTTTCAGTGCAACGGTGCACAACGAGGCTGATAGATTGATATTTTGATCTGGAAATCGTTAAAAGGTCTTTTCGTGCCCCGGTGCGCAGAGGACGATGCAGTCGGTGCCATGGAGCTCCTTGAAGTTGACCATGAGCCGCGGGTTGGTCGGGTCGAGCAGCCGCGCCTTTTGGATGTCGGCGGCGGCTTCGGCGTGGCGACCGAGCGCCTTGAACGCAAAGCCGCGGCGGAAGGCCGCATGGGCGTTGGTCGGATTCCCTTGGAGGACGCGGGAGAAATCCTCGATCGCCTCGTCGTAGTAGCGCTCGAGCTGCAGCGCCTTGGCGCGCTCGTGGTAGTACACGAGGCGCTCGTCCGGCGCCTAGTTGATACCTCGATACATTGATACTATTGTAGTCACGGTACCGTTGCAATCGCGTCCGTGAAGCTCTCGATCGCGTCCATGCAGCGCTCGATCGAGGCGTACGATAGGCCAATGTAGTAGTGACTAGAGGTGAGAAGTCTTTTTTGTATCAAGAGAGTATCAAGTCGCACATTTCCGAGAGGTACGAGACGCTCGGAGCGTGGGCGAGCGCCGATCGCAGCTGCAAGATGGCCTCGGGGAATTGCAGCCGGTGGAACAGGACCATGCCTGCGTGGAAGAGAAGCCGCGGGTCCCCCGGCGCGAGCTTGAGGCCGACGGCCAGGTCGGCATGGGCCTTTGGATACTCGCGGCACTCGAGGTAGCAGATCGCGCGGTGCAGCCGGAAGCTTGGCTCGCGCTTGTTGAGCTCGACGCAGCTCTATCTATCACTTTGAATGCGTCCGAGATGACGAACTCGCACCGAGAGGTCGGCGATCGCGAGCTCATACAGCCCAAGCCCGCGGTGCGCGAGCCCCCGCGCGTTGTAAACACCGGGGCCTGACGCACCAAGGGTCAGCGCCAGCGAGAGGTCGGCGACCGCTGCGTCAAAATGACTCAGCCGCAAATGGCTCTCGCCGCGGTGGTAGACATGGAGTGCGTCGGGCAATGGCGCCACCGCAATCGCACTCGAGTAGTCCTATAATCTATTAGTCTGTCTCGATGGCCTCTCAGTTCTGATAGATTGCACCTCGATCGCGAGCTCGTGGAGACCGACGTCTTGAAACACGAGCGCGCGGGCGGCGAGGAACGCTGGTTCGCTTGGCAAGTCGTGGATGGCCGCTGTGAACGTTGCGATCGCTGCCTCGTGCTGGTTGCTCTCGTGCTGGAGGAGCCCAATGTGGTACTTGGAGGCCACCTACCCATGAGTGAGATGCCACCTTTTACGAAATGCACATGCAGATGATATATATATATACGTGGGCAGGGTCGAGCTGCAGCGCCATCTCGAGAAAGAGCTGCGTCTGCTGCGGGTGCCGCTTAAGATGCATGACCATGGCCTTCCCGAAGAGGTACCGCGGCGACTCGGGTACGACAGAGCACGCCATGTCCATGTCGGCCAGCGCGGCTTCAAGCTGCTCAAATATGCTCATCGCGCCGGTGGTCGTCGCCGGCGCTTCGGCCGTCGTGCCGTTGCTGCCAGTCTTGGGTCGACTCCTATTACTCCCATGCCATCCTTGTACCATGTGCGTGGCATTGGCTACCGGTCCTCCGACTCGATCTCGGAGCGTAGAAGGAGGTCGCGCGCGATCTGGTTGGCGCTTTCTTGGGCCGACAGTTCCTCGAGCGCGACCGCGATGCGCGTCAGACCGCGGTTGTAGTAGGCCTGCGCGTCCTTGCCGTCAAGTTTGATGGCCAAATGAAAATCTGCGAGCGCCATGCGATCGTACTCGTGGCCCTAATCCCCGTTATTTTTAGCATTTAGCATTTTTCTTGCCGTTTTTATCAATATTGAATACCTTTTCAAAGTACGCTTGGCCGCGGTTGTTGTAGTACGCAGGGTTCGAATCCAGGAGCGTGATGGCGGTCGAGAAGTGCTTGATCGCACTTTCCACATCATGGTACTAGCATTGATTGCCGTGACCACATGGACATGAATGGTCCAGGAATGCTACCTCCATGTAGCACTGCGCGAGCGAGTTGTAGACTGCCGAGTTGCGCGGTTCAAGCTTGATCGCTTGCATCATGTCGTCCACGCACTTGTCTACGTCGTGCAAGAAATCTCTCCACGCTACGTCTGCGAACGAGATACCAAAGAGGCCGAGCCGGCGGTAGCAGTTGCCGCGGCTATGGAGCGCGCGAAATTCGGTGCGAGGTCCACCCGATGCATCGTCGAGGGCCTTTGTAAAGTCGCTGATCGCGAGCTCATAGTGGTTGATATCGTAGAGGACGAGCGCGCGGTTGAAATAGTGCGTGCCCTACTCACAACAACATTCTGGCCTCTCGAATGCATTTTTGCTCCTTGTACCCGCTTCGTATCGTACTCGATTGCAAGGGTGAAGTCTTCCAGCGCATCGGCGGCCCGTCCGAGCTACGCAAATATTCTCAGAGTGCGCGAGAGACGTCAGGGGAACCTTGCGGAAGCACGTGCCTCGACTGGCATAGTAGGTCGGACACTTGTCGTCGAGCGAAATGGCCATGTCAAAGTCGGAGATCGCCGCTTCAAACTCGTTGATGGCGCGGAAGCTGTTGCCGCGCGCGAGGAAATATCGGGCGTGGCCAGGTCGGACTGCAATCGCCATCGAGATGAGCTCAATGGCCTTGACGTGGTCCTCGACCCCCGTCGCGCTATGGGCGATTTCGACCCCCTAGACAACAATATTGTCATCTCTGTCGCATGATTCAGACAGACGATCGAGGAGGACTTGCCTTTTGGTAAAAGTCGATCGCTTGGTGCTCGGTCGTCTTCTTCTCTTGGTTTTGCTCCATGATGAGGGCGCCGGCTAAATATGTAAAGGAAATGAAACGATGCGACTCCTTCGTGTTGACGGACATTAGTTGAGTGTTGGAAGGAGTAGCATGGACTACCTACTCTTGAGCTTCGCACCACTCGATGCATCCTAGCATGTACAGGCGTAAACACCGCGTTTTTGACGTCCCATCCCGATTATAAAATCGCAATGGCAGAGAGTTCTATGCACAACCGAAGCACAGAAGCACGGGCATGCTCACAAGCCAACTGAACGGTTTGTCGAAATCTCCAGCGACCGCCTCGTCCCTCGTCGACGCATCCGTTGGCATCGAGTCAATGTAAAGTACCATTCTTGGAATATGTAAATCATGACGCAATGTTGTACAGGTTGTCATGCGTTTGGGATCCGGCGCTTCTTGCCCCTCTTGGGTTCCTACCACGCAGCAGAGGGTCAATCTCTCAACTTCCACCGGGATATTCTTGACGGACGTACCGAAGGGTTCGGTGTGAGGTCTGCTAGCAGCGCATTAAGCTGTTTGACGCGCTGTATGTCGTTCCAACGCACGTCCTCGCGGCGCGAGTGGGCTTCGGCTGCGCCCGTCGACGCCATGCCAGGCTGCGTTCGCTTCCGCAGGATAAAATAGTCCAACTCGCCTTCATAGTCGCGCTCGAGTTCGAGCTGCTGAGGGTGACGCTGGACGGCGCACTCGATCTCGAGGCAGAGAGACATCTCAATCGTCATCACTGTATCACAGCCGGTGCGGAGAAAGCGGCGGAAGTCAGCGCAACCGCCGCAGTGGGCTGCATCGATTTCAATGTCGGTGAAGGCGTAGTCAGTGAAGGCTGGCAGCGGGGCAAGCGCACCGCCGCTGACAAACGCCGCCCGGCACTCGGAGGCCAAGTAGACGAGCAATTCTCGAAAGCGCGCATCCGATACCTGGCGCCGCAGCTCCTCGACGAGCGGCCAGAGCTCATCGCGGGTGGCGTCGAGAGTTCCCGGTAGCGCCGAGCGCCATTCGGCCGCACACTTCCGCGCCGCTTTGGGCGACACGATCACGAGGGCACTGAGAAGGTCGGCGACCGAGCTGGTTGGGCTTTTGCCGTAGCTGTCGCGGCGTGGATGCTCGAGTGTCGGGGCGAAATCGAGCAGAAAGCTTGTCACGAGAGCGCCCGTTGCCGTCGATAGAGGCGCGCGCTGGACGAACATCAGAATGGCCGGTAAGATGTCGGTGATCGGTCGGGCAAAGGCTCGAGACGTCGCTAGGAGCGTCGCATCAAAACCACCGACGACCTCCATGTACTGCAGCAAGGCCGCAATTTCATATGCGCTCAAATGCGCGCCCTTGGACTGCGCAGTCAACGCAGTCTTGATGGCGGCAACGTACGGCGCTTGCTGTAGTGATGGCTGAAGCGGAATGGCCGCCAGCAAGGCCTTGGGAAGATACTTCAATTGATGCCATGGCGACGGAGCCGCCGTGAGCGCCGAGGGCGCGCCGACGCGGCGCGAATACAGAAAGCTGTCGACCATCAAGAGGACTGGAGGTGGTAGCCACTGACCGAGGTAGTTGTCGCCCGGCCGCGTCGGCAACCCAGTGTCAAAGTACCAATCCAACAGAATGGAGTGCTCGGTGGGGGCGTCACCAGGTTTGAAATGGGGCTCCATGAGCGCCGCCTGCCAGCACGCCTTGAGAAACTCGCCAGCGAACGGCTGGTTCAACGGCGGACAGACAGCTTCACGCTCCGTCGTGAGACCCGCCAAGCTGGCAAGGAGGCGACAAATAGCATGGGTGCCGTCGTACTTCTTGACCACGCGTGCAAGAAAGGCCTCGACAGCTGGTAGCAGCGTCGGCCACCCAAAGGTTTCCAAGCTCTCGTGGAGACATTGCGCGGCGCCGTCACTTCGCCAGGTCGAAAGGGACAGTGTATTCCGGAGGAAGCGCTTGAGTAACTCGGCGTCCTTGTACCGGAGCAAGAGATACCCGAGCTCAACGGCGTCGCTGTTGTTGGTCGCAGCAACGTCGAACGCCGTCAGCGTACCGAGTATAAAGTCGTGGAGACTGAGACCAAAGAGGTCTATGATTTGACCGTTGCGAATGGCCTCTTTCAGCAAAGACACGGCGCGCGACGGACCAGCGATGGCCACGCGGCAGCGCTTGGGCCAGAAAAGGACTGCGGTGGCGGGGCACTCGGACCTGTTGGCGGAAGCATCGACGCTCAAGAAGAGGTCGGCGCCCTTGTTTCTGACACCCGACGTCACGGCGAAGGGGATGTCAGCAAGGCTTTGGATGCGAGTAACGCAGTTCTCGTACCGCACTTTGTACTCGAAATAGGGGTCCTCGTCCCACGAGTCATCCTCAAAATCATAGCCGCCGTAGACGTCGGGGGTGGGGGGCGAGGTCTCTTGAAAGTCGACCAGCGAAATGTCATAGCCATTTGTCGCCACGAGGATGTCCACAAGCGTCTTGTCGATGCACTTGAGGTGTTGAAACGAGAGAGTTTCCGGATATGCAACAACGACATGGACTGCGCGCGCAATGCGCTGAATGTCATGCGGTGGGTCCCGAGCGATCGCGGCAAAGGCTTCGATGACGTCATTTCGGGTCGGCGGTGGCACCCACGCTTCGGGGTCGCTCGTCAAGGCATACACAAGGGCCACGCGACAGCCGGATGTGATCGGTGCACTCGTAATGTGGTTGAACGAAGCAAAGGTCTGCACTGCTTGCTGCGACGCCGTTAGTTCCAATACGTCGGTGCCGTTGGTGAATGTTAGCTCGCCGCCGGTATATGTGGACTTGAAGGACACCAGAAGCGTTCCGACGGCATGCGGTATCTCTGGCGTTGGTGCCAGCGTCGTCCCGACAGAGTCGATGCAGAGATGGGACAAGACCACACGGACATGACATTTGACGCGGAGGGCCCGCTGCAAAGCTGGGAGAATCCTTGTCTCGAGGTGCTTGCTCCATTTATGGGCGTTGAGGATCGTGATCTTGGCGGCAGGAACGATATTGGTGTGAAGCGCCGTGAGCTGCTGCTCTTGCGTCGGTGTCCATGGCTCGGCGAGGTGACCGTCGACGCCGTCCAGAGCGACTGTTGGGCTCAGTTGAGGAGACGGTTTGGTGCGAAAGACATACGACTGGGACTGAAGATGCTTCTCAAACGCAGCTTTGTACAAAGCAGCGGACGCCATCGCTGTCGGAGGTGAATGGTGGCGAGCTGGACGCGTGGGCTGCGCTGTGCCGACGAGGCGTTCGAGGACGCTGAATTTAGTTGACTTACAGTTCTGGTTTCTATCTTTGGTTTCCTCCAAGCAAGTGGAGTAGCAATAATACCTCCCCCAGTGCATCGGCGGGGCCGCTCCGAGGTGGTGCAGTTGGTGGCAGCAGGATGAAAATCGGTCGAATGGCTTTGTTCATGCGAGCCTCTTACGTTGCGAGGCCAAGTGTTGAAGCGCCTGGCGATGCATAGGGTCGCGACGAAGAAGACACCTGCAAACAATTCGCGTTGAAAGGTTTCCAAAAGAGTCATGGACGTGTTGTGGCTGCCTTGCGCTCTGCCAATGGTCAAAGGTGTGATTCGTGTCGAACGAGTTCATGACAAGCACTGGTACTTCCAACATACCAGCTTTTGCAGTAGCAAGATGAAGCCCCTTTCGCCGTCGTAACCCGAAGTGAGTTCGAGTCGCTGCGAGTGACGCTCGGCAAGATCTTACTTGATGGCGAGGCAGAAATCAGCATTGATGTTCATGGTCGAGGAGGACGCGACGCAGTCTTCGCAGAGCTGCCCATGTCTGTCATGCATCGTCGTCGATGGCCGGCAGTGGTAGAAGCGCGCCGCCGCCGACCAAAGCCACCTGACCCTCGGTGGCAAACGTCTGCGCATGTACTTGACGTTCGTTCATTCAGACGCGGACCAACGGCCCAGAACCTCGTCCAGCACCGCCAATATACCAAAGAAAGAATACGCTGACAACTATTAAATACGTGAGATATATATATACACTAATACGGCGCGCTCCGGTGCTTCTTCTTGGAGCAGTGGACGTCGCAGAGGTTGTCGTTGCGCTCGTACGCTGGCCGTTGACAGCCGTCGGCGCGGCAGCGCTTGCCGCCGCCGTGCGCCCAGCAGAGGCCGTGGCGCAGCGCCGTCTTTGTGCAGTCAGCCTCGCTGCACTGCTTGCCGCCGCCATGGGACCAGCACACGCCGTACGTCTTGGAGCGGTTGGAGCAGTTGGGGAACGAGCACGTCTTGGAGCCGCCGTGCTTCCAGCAGAGGCCGTTGGTCTTGGCGCCGCTCGGGCAGTCGGCCACGCTGCAGCGCTTGCCGCCGCCGTGGGCGATGCAGTGGCCGCGCGTCACGGCAAACTTGGTGCAGCCCGCGTGCTTGCACGGGCGCGAGCGCGGCGCGGGCGGCGACCGCGTCTTGGCCATGAGCGGGCTCACGCGTGGACTGCGCAGGCTCATCGCGCTCGTCTCGGGGCTCTGCGGGCAGCTCGAGCGCGAGCCAAAGTCGTGCAGGAGGAACGCGAGCGAGAGCTTCTGGGCCATGGTGGTCGTGGGATTTCGGTGCTGGAAATTGGCAACTGGCGACTTGTCACCTTCCAGTGACGCCAGAATTGTATCTGTACGTGTTCGACTTATCTTGATTACAGTATACACGAATGCACGGTGAACGTACGGCCGTACACGCTCGGGGTGGCCGAGGGCCCTGACGCGATGCTTGGTCCGCTTTCTCCAGACTGTCTCCATAGCTGGCTGCCGACCAGCTTGGCAGGGGATATGTGCTGGCATATACAAACTTCAAGTGCTTTGAAATGGGTTCGGCGCGGTTCGGAATACAACAGAAGATTTTACAAGCGCGCGCAGGCAGCGAGACGCAACGAGGAAGCAACCTCTTTAATAGAAAGCGCAGTATAAATAGGAGCCCTGGATATGAGGTCAACTCTAGCTGGCATAGCGCTCCCGCGCCGGCGTCCATGGCGCGTCCGAGGCCCGTGGGCGATCTATTTGAGACGGTGATGAGAAGTGGTCTTGGCAGCTCCGACGCACATGTGACTTGTCACCACGTGTCACACGCCAGCTGGGCTTCGAGATCTCTGAACGGGAGGCTTGTTAGCGCAGGGTGTTATAACTGGGAACGACAGTACGCGGGACAGTGGTAGGCGGGAAGATGGCACTGCGCGACGCTGGATACGCAAGTGGCAAGTACGCTCGCCGAGATTATTGCCGACGGCCGAGGGTGTTAACAAGGCGCAGCTCATCTCTGTCAAGTATCTCTGTCCCCTTTGAGGCCGGTCAACGGTCGATGTGGCGTTAGCCGTTGCGCCGAGATCATTTTTCTTCCGACAGCAGCAGCTGGACGTACTAGTAGGTGTGCGCCTGTCGCTAACCCGACCACCCACGAGCCAGCGCTCGAGAGCTGGGCTCGAGGTCACACTAATTTGTGCGCAAGTGACGAGAGATTTGGAGCGTCTGGGTTCGCAGTAGGTGTTTACGTCTGGTGCCACCCGCGCGCATACTACTGTAGACCACCGAATCAAGCGCTGTTATAACACGCAGCCCGCGACATCCAGCGTGCAGCGAACGTAGCTTTTCGAAATGCAAAGCAACTCGGTTGGACTGACGCCGACACAGCTGTCCGACCCATCATAAATCAGTGCACTGCATACAGTGTATTCTTGGCTTCCTCACATCGTTGGCGTCTATAGGTCTAGGTTCAAGTACGCTGGAGCCGGTCAACCTGCGCCTGCAGCGTCGCCAGTGCGGCCAAACTCTCCCCGAGACTGGCGTGCTCGACACTGGCTTGCGCGATGCGTTCGTCGTCCTGCGCCTGAATGGCTTCGGGGACGTTCGCAGCGTACTTGGGGTCGGCACGCTTGGCGTTTAGCATCGCCAGCGTCTTGGCGGCCTTGGCCTGGCGCTTGGTGAGCCGGTCGACCTCGGCCGAGATGCGGCCGCTGGTCTCGAGCCCGATCGGCAGCGGCAACAGCACTACGTTTTTATACACACCCAATGAGCAATCCACGCGTCGCCAGCGATCCCACTGCAGATCCGTCGCAGATCCTTCGGCGTGCATCGCTAATCGACCATTACCTTGGCAGTGCTCGTGCAGCGAGTGCGTGAGCCAGACGTGGCGCGGCGACTTGGTCTCGTCGGCGGCGGTGGTCAGAAGCGCGACCGGGCCGGCCCGGCATTGCGCTTCAATGTCCTATGGATCGGGTACATCCAGCCGCTTGCGACAGAGACGACGTACGCTCAAGTTCCGCTCCAGGAGCGCCATCGTCGTCGCATCGCTGCACTGAATCTTCAAGCCACTACGAACACCGGTCGGTTCGTCAACGGGAACAAGGTGATGATTACTCGACGGTCGACGCATCCGGCGCCAGCGTCTTGCGCGTGTGCCGCAACGACCGCACCGCGTGCATGACATCCAGTACCGCCTACACCATCCAGTGTTTGATCCAGAAGTCGAGAAAGAAAACCCATCGATAATCGAAACCTGCATGCTTGCTTCGGCGTCGCGGTCGACCCAGCGCGCCCACTGCGCAGGGTCGGGGAACGCGGCCGTCATGAGCGAGTGCTCACTGCCACCTTGGAGCCGCTGCCTACAGACACCGAGGTGACGCCTAGCACTACGTTCTTAGGTCGTCGTACCAGAGCTCTTCGGTCACAAAGGGCATGATCGGATGCAGCAGACGCAGCGACGTGTCCAACGCAGTCGTCAGCGTCGCCTTGGCGGCCTCCTTGGCGTGCGCATCCTCGTGGTACAGAACGGGCTTGGAGAATTCAATGTACACGTCGCAGAGCTCCTGGATGAAGAAGCGCTGGGCCGCATTCGCGCTCGTAGCAAGCTTGAACGTGCCGTAGCCGTCGTGCACCTTGGTCACTGCGTCCGCCTAGTAGAACGTCCATATCCAAATGCCCTTTGGTGGTGCCATATCGTCGTACCAGGCGGCTGAGGATCCAGCGGTCCGCCAGACTCATAGACGGTGCGTGCGACTCGAGCGAAGACGACGACGTCGTCTGCACGAGCGGCAGCGCGTACCGCAACGCGTTCCACATCTTGTTGCAAAAGTGCCGCGACGCCACGACGCGCTGGAGATCCATGTTGATTTGGCGGCCTAGATCGATCGATAGATGGAGAGATATGGATGCGTCGTATGGATAATAATCGTAGTAGTACCTTGCGACAGGTACGAGGCCAGCGTGAGCCGGAGGGCGTCCGTGCCGCAGCTCGGGAGGCCGTTCGGAAACTCCTTCTTGAGCTCCTTCTCGGCCCGCGCGCGCTCCTTCGGATCCAGATTGCCTTGCTAGAAAAACAAGGATCAGTGTATCAAGGTATCGACGAGGCCGAGGTTACGTGGAGGCCGTCGAGGAGCGTCGGGAGGTCGATGCCGCCAATCACGTGCAGCGGGTCGATGACGTTGCCAAGGCTCTTGGACATCTTGCGACCCGCCTTGTCGCGCACCATCGGGTGCAGCCACACGGCCTTGAAGGGCTGCGTGCCGCCGCTGAGCTACATATTAGATCTTAGTCAAAATCCCTTGATACAAACTTGATACCTCGGTGCAGAGCATGCTCATGCGAGCGACCCAGAAGAAAAGAATGTCCGAGCCCGTCTCGAGGAGCGACATCGGATACAAGTGGCGAATGGACTCGGGAACGCGGTCGTCGGTCGGCCACTCCTACAAGCGCCAGTGGGACTTGCCACCTTTAGTATCAAGTTGATACGAGCGATGAGAGCGGGAGCAGCGCCGAGCTAAACCACGTATCGAGAACGTCTTCGTCTTGCTCGAGGGTAAACGACCCCGGCGAAAGGTCGTAGAGCGTCATCGCCGTCGCCGTCGCGTCGTCGATGGACCGCGCCACGACCCACTTGTCGTCGGTCGTCGTCTCGTCGGTTCGGACGCGGTAGGCGG